AGTCTTGGAAGACTGGTCTTGGAAGGAGAACGCCAACTGAGACCACCCTCGGAAGTCCCAATTCCAATTTACGTAAACGAAGAGATAAAACCCGTCGAAGGTTTACGGAATGGCTGGATATGTAAATCGAGTTGGAAGATCCAATGGAAGAAAAATGGTGAAGTAAGCCTTTGAAGGACCTCGTGGGAAGGAGCGAGACCAATGGTACAAAACTGGTGAAGTAAGCCTTTGAAGGACCTCGTGGGAAGGAGCGAGACCAATGGTACAAAACTGGTGAAGTAAGCCTTTGAAGGACCTCGTGGGAAGGAGCGAGACCAATGGAACAAAAATGGTGAAGTAAGCCTGTGAAGGACCTCGTGGGAAGGAGTGAGACCAATGGAACAAAAATGGTGAAGTAAGCCTGTGAAGGACCTCATGGGAAGGAGCGAGACCAATGGAACATAAATGGTGAAGTAAGCCTTTGAAGGACCTCTTGGGAAGGAGCGAGACCAATGGAACATAAATGGTGAAGTAAGCCTGTGAAGGACCTCGTGGGAAGGAGCGAGACCAATGGAACGTAAATGGTGTAGTAAGCCTTTGAAGGACCTCTTGGGAAGGAGCGAGACCAATGGAACATAAATGGTGAAGTAAGCCTTTGAAGGACCTCTTGGGAAGGAGTGAGACCAATGGAACATAAATTGTGAAGTAAGCCTGTAAAGGACCTTGTGGGAAGGAGCGAGACCAATGGAACAAAAATGGTGATGGACCTCGTGGGAAGGAGCGAGACCAATGGAACAAAAATGGTGAAGTAAGCCTTTGAAAGACCTCGTGGCAAGGAGTGAGACCAATGGAACAAAAATGGTGAAGTAAGCCTTTGAAGGACCTCGTGGGAAGGAGCGAGACCAATGGAACAAAAATGGTGAAGTAAGCCTTTGAAGGACCTCGTGGGAAGGAGCGAGACCAATGGAACAAAAATGGTGAAGTAAGCCTTTGAAGGACCTCGTGGGAAGGAGCGAGACCAATGGAACAAAAATGGTGAAGTAAGCCTGTGAAGGACCTCGTGGGAAGGAGTGAGACCAATGGAACAAAACTGGTGAAGTAAGCCTTTGAAGGACCTCGTGGGAAGGAGTGAGACCAATGGAACAAAACTGGTGAAGTAAGCCTTTGAAGGACCTCGTGGGAAGGAGTGAGACCAATGGAACAAAACTGGTGAAGTAAGCCTTTGAAGGACCTCGTGGGAAGGAGTGAGATTTAGTGCCATTGAAAAGGAAGATGGTAGACATCCTGCTCGCCGGCACTTTGGCCCGAAGGCCTCGAATGGAACAATAATATCCGAGATAACATTCGAGGACCCGAACCTGTACATTCCGGTGTTGCACGTATCAATGACCAATGGACCCTGTCGAAGGCCTGCCCCACACCCGCTGAAAGAAGGAGAGGCCTCCCGCCAGGGCCGAGTGGACCAGACCCCATGCTCGGATGGTGTTCTCGGGCTTCACGAGACCATGGAACCAAAGCCAACTTGGCCTAAAAGGATCACGTGACTAATATCCGGCATGTGGTGTCCACATTGAGAAGGGAAATGGGTCTGTAACTCGAACAGGCCATTGGATCCTTCCCCTCGCTTTGGGATCACTGCTACATGCGTTCGCAAAGAGTCCACGGGTGAGCTGACCTCTGACCTCCAGAACAAAATCGGCTCGTACAAAGGGTGGATTAAGAGTTCCCCAAAAATGTTTTGTAATACACCGAAGAGAACCCATCCGGGCCCCGCGGCGCCTTTCCATATATTAAGTTCGGGGCAGTCTCCGGTGCTAATACTGAAATGGGTTCCTCCGTAAGGGTACAGACCACCCCCGGCAATCTTGGCATCTCGGAATTCTGGAGGCAAGAGCGGATACGTGGCCAGCTATGGGATGCCGTCTCGGCATTGAGTGAGAGTATGAGAGTACCGATAGTGTTTTTACCGATACCGAAGTACCCTCTACTCGGTATCGGTGCCCCCTATACTCGGTATCGGTGCCCCCTATACTCGGTATCGGTGCCCCCTCTACTCGGTATCGGGCCCTATACCCGGTATCGGTCCCTATACCCGGTATCGGTCCCTATACTCGGTATCGCCCCCTATACTCGGTATCGCCCCCTATACTCGGTATCGCCCCCTATACTCGGTATCGCCCCCTATACTCGGTATCGGTGCCCCCTATACTCGGTATCGGCCCCTCTACTCGGTATCGGCCCCTATACCCGGTATCGCCCCCTATACCCGGTATCGCCCCC